CCAAGAGAGACCAGTCCTTGGATAAAGACATCATGCTTGGAAGGGTGGAGGGACAGCACAGGAGAGGAAGATCCCAGATGCAATTGATTGATACAATAACTGGGGCAATGGGGATTGGTGTGTCAGAATTAGCGAGACTGGCTCAGCACAGGGCAGGGTTCATAGGGTCACTGGTGACTCACTGGCACATAACAGTAACAACAATTTTCATTTACTTATCAGTTTATTAATTTTCACTCCTCTCTCTTACCTTATCCTTGTCAACCCACCAAGATTGTTTCTACTTGTAAACTTTACTTAGATTTTAATATTAGTGGTTTTATATCATAACTGACCATAAATTACTGATTTATTCGATCAGCATAATCTGTTCTATATTCATCCATGTTCTACATGGCTTTTTTTTGGAGGGGGGGGCGGGGAACAATAAAACTAAAAACTACTAATTCTTAGTAAACCTCACCCTCATTGCCCGGGAGTCAGAACCCAGTTTTACTGCTAATGGATTTCAGGAGATGCAAATCATACTGGATGAGACTGCACATCTTTATCCGCAGAACCTCTGTGGATTAGAACTGCCAAAGGGTCACTGCCCTTGGGTAAGCAGTACAGTTCTCTACTATCTAGGCCACACGTGCCTCTAAATGCTATTAAGTAAATGCTAATAAGAAACTAGCAAATTTGGCATTTTATGCGTATCTCATAAGAATGGATATTTGTGGGTGACCATGAGGACTTTACACTGAGAGAAATGTCTCAGTCATTAAAAGACAAATACTGCATAATACCACTGTTAGAAAACAGCACTGACATGGGGCTTGGGGAAAACTGAGAAAAGAGGGGATAAATAATTTACATGACATTGAAACACATGAGGGAGGGAACTGTATAAAAGGAATATACGATTAAGTATTATTGGCATGACAAGAGTCCAGAATAAGAGCTGCATAGTAAAGTGGTCTGGTGTGGGGGAGGGGAAGGGGGACTGCACAACAATGAAAGAACTTTTTTTCCAAAGAAAAAAGTGAACTGGGGGTGCAGGGAGAAAAAATGCAACAGTGAATGAATGGAAATCCAAGTTCTTTATAAACTTACATTAAAATCTCAATTTTAAAAAAAGAATGGACATTTGCAATAACTTCTTCTCTAGATGTAATTTTCCAGCTTGCATGGGAAATCTTCATACCCTTGACCTTCTTAGGTAAAAATCATGCAAAATAGAATTCTCTTTTCCTAAAAAGGTAAATCTTTTACACAGAAATGACTTTAGCACAGTCTCTATGACATATGTTTAGAATACTTTATATACTAAAAGCTAAAAGATAACCAATCGGGTGATTGAGATTAGTATCAGTGGTAATTCATGCTGACTTTATAGTCCCATGTGATTAAAAAGGCCTTCCTCTATGAACAGACACTTCACCAAGGAAGACATTCAGATGGCCAACAAGCACATGAAGAAATGCTCAAAATCCCTAGCTCTGAGAGAGATGCAAATCAAGACAACTATGAGATATCATCTCACCCCAGTAAGACTAGCAAAATTTAACAGAACAGCTAGCAACAAATGCTGGCGAGGTTGTGGAGAGACTGGAACCCTTATTCACTGTTGGTGGGAGTGTAAAATGGTGCAACCACTGTGAAAAGTGATACGGCGCTTTCTCAAAAGGTTGCAGCAAATAGAGATATCATTTGACCCAGCAATTCCACTACTGGGAATATACCCTAAAGAGACCATAAATGACATCCAAGTAGATATATGCATTCCCATGTTTATCGCGGTATTGTTTACAATAGCAAGGAGTTGGAAACAACCTAAGTGCCCAACAACAAATGAATGGGTAGAGAAGCTGTGGTATATCCGCACAATGGAATACTACGCTTCATTGAAAAACAAGGAACTCATGCAATATTATTCAAAATGGGTGAACCTGGAGGACATGATGCTGAGTGAGGTATCTCAGTCACAAAGGGACAAATGCTATATGGTGCCACTGTTGTAGAATGAGGCTGACATAGGGGTGGGGGTAAGACTGAGAAAAACTAGATGAATTATGTTTACTGCATTGAAGTCTATGGGGGAGAGAATGTTTAAAAATATTATATTTTAGGGCATTATGTTTATCATAAGAGTACGGAATGAGGGTTGCAGAATGGATTATATTTGGGGGTGGGGGTGGGGGATGTGCACGGGGGATTGTGTACCAATGGGGGAGTTTTTCTTTTGCTTTTCAAGGAGAGGAGCAAACCGGGAGGGGGGGGCAGGGAGAAGGGTCAACAATGAATTAATGGAATTCCAAAATCTCTGTAGATGTTCATTGAAATGAAAAATAAATAAATTCATTCATTAAAAAGGCCTTTCTCACCTGTGATCTTCCCCCAAAAAACACAGGACTCCATTCTAATCAGAAAAGCATTTAAAGTGAGCCAGTTGAGGAGAATTCCTCACAAATCCTGACCAGAACTTTTCAAAACTGTCACAGTCATCTCAAACAAGTTTGATAGATTGTCATAACAAAATGAGACTAAGGAGACAAGACCACTCATTCCAAGATGATATCCCAGAACAGGACAAATAATATTTGTCCAGATTTTATATATAGGTCTTATTTTAACTATAATTACTCTCTCTCACACCCTTATACATGATTTGCTATCTTAATAGTCTCTTATGGCTCCATATTGTGATCAACTTTCCATGACAACACATTTAGATCTCTATGACAATTTTGATGGGTTTTTGTTGTTGTTGTGTGCTGTTGAGTCAACTAAGACCCTGTTAACAATGGCTCTGAACCTTGCCCTATCCTGAGCCAACCTCCCCAACTCTGACATATCTGACCCCATTGCCACAGACTTTGTGCCAATTCATCTAGGATCTTCCTCTTCTCCACTGACCCTCTATCCTTCCAAGCATGTTGTTCTTCTCCAAGGACTGGTCCATCTGATAGGATGCCCAATAAATGTAAGATGGAGTTTCAAAATCCCTGCTTCCAAGGAACAACCTACTTTTACCCTCAACAGGACAGACCTGTGACCAGCAAAGATTTTAACAATTGCATAACATTCCATCATATACAAATAGCATAATTATCTCAATCCTCCTTTTATTTCTATTATGTATTAAAATAAAGTTTGCTTTAGATTTACAGATTAATTGGGAGGATTGAAATATTTTGAGAGTGTGCAATATAAATAAACAATTTCCCCTGTTATATTTTTATATTATATTTGTTTTAATTGATGGGTAAATATTTACACACTACCATGGACTGCCAAGAAAACAAACAGATTCATCCTGTTGTTATTGTTGTTGTTATGTGCCGTTGAGTCATTTGTGACTCATAGCGACCCTATGTAAAACAGCCCTAAACCGTGCTCTATCCTGTGCCAATCTCATTGCCTCTATAGAGAGGGTTAAACCAGGCTACTCCTTGAAGGCAAGGATTCTGCGGCTTCGTCTGACATACTTTGAGAGACAGGTCCTTGGAGAGGGACATCATGCTTGGTAGGGTAGAGGGACAGTGGAGAAGAGGAAGATCCTAGATGAATTGGTGCAGAGACTGTGGCAATGGGGCCAGATATGTCAGAGTTGGAGAGGTTGGCTCAGGATAGGGCAAAGTTCAGAGCCATTGTTAACAGGGTCTTAGTTGACTCAACAGCACACAACAACAACAAAAACCCATCAAAATTGTTATAGAGATCTAAATGTGTTGTCATGGAAAGTTGATCACAATATGGAGCCATAAGAGACTATTAAGATAGCAAATCATGTATAAGGGTGTGAGAGAGAGTAATCATAGTTAAAATAAGACCTATATATAAAATCTGGACAAACTGAGTACACATCAAAAGGATGACAGTAAATTGTTCACAGTGGTAGAATCATTAGAAATTTTCTTCTGTTTCTCTATGGAATACTCACATAAAAGGAAATATTCTCAAAAAGAGTAAATGGTATGTTAATACCTTGTAGAGGAAGAACTGCCTCAACTTGAGGTGAGATGGTTAATAATGACCATGTTGAGTAAGTGACATTAACCTGGACTTTGAAAGATGAATGGTAGGAACTCATGAAAATATCATGATGAAAGCTAACAGCAGGCAAATAAATCATTTACCAAAAAAATGTACCAAGATATTTTAAAGTGTGGCTGAACATAAAGAAATCTGAGGGTGAACCATTTCTGGATACTGAAGGTCTAGTTAAGTGAAAGTAATGTTGAAATGGTCACTAGAAGGATCTGTACACAGGTCACTAAAAGTATTCTATACCCTGTTAAGGGAGATGATTTTTAAGAAACAACTCCGTTAAAGTAAAAGGCATTATTCCCTACTCGTCATGTTAACACCCATCACAGCTTCAGAAAGAATATGAAGATTTCCCATATGTATTAGATACCCAAAGGATATGCTTAGACACTCAAAAACTTAACATAACTAAAAGCAGGAAAAAGTAATACCTAAATAAGGCTCAAGGGGTAAGAAGAGATAGGATAGAAAGATTTATGGAAATGAGAATCACGAGGAAGAGGTAGGAAAAGTGTGGTCACATTTTAGTTACTTTAGCTAATGTCACAGAACAAAACATAAAAAGAAGTCAATTTCATAAAACAAAATGAAGGAAAATAAATTCATTTTTTAAAATTATCAAATGACAATAAAAAGAATAAAATTGCTCTTAGCGTTTGCTCTTAGTAATCATAGTAATTGCTCTTAATATTGACTATATATGAAATTTGATTGATTCTAGAGTTAGACATGACTTATAGAGAGCAAATGGTTTCTTCCTCTTAAGTTTTAGGTAACTCAGTCAAGTCACAGCATTTCTGAGAGAGGCAAGTTCCATAACCTTAGGTAAATTGCTCCTCTGGTCCAGAACACAATGAACCAATTTCCTTAGTGACTTGGTTCTTATTCTCCTGTTGTTTGTTGTTAACAAAACACATCTCATATAAAGTTAGAATATCAGAGAAATCATCGCCCTCCGTTCTCCAAAGTCATTTCTTCTTTGAAAAGAACATATAAGCCACTTGGTCTCGTATCTGCCTAGTCTTGACACCATAAATGATGGGATTCAGCATAGGTGGAGCAAGCATACTGACATTGGCCAGCAAGATATGGACGTGCAGTGGTATGTGACGTCCAAAACGCTGTGTGAGAACTGAGAAGATTCCAGGCCCATAAAATAGGATGATCACACAGACATGGGAGCCACATGTGTTAAGAGCTTTATAACGAGCTTCTTGTGAAGGCATGTGAAAGACAGCACGAAGAATCAGAACATAGGAAGCAAAAATGAGGACAACATCCAAGATTACTGTGGACATTAAGACAAAGAATCCATACCAAATATTTATTCGGATGTCATCACAGGCATACTTGGCTAGACCAATGTGTTCACAGAATGTATGTGGAAGGATGTTAGTTCTGCAAAAAGTCAATCTCTTTAGGAGAAATACCATTGGGAAAATGGTACAATGTGCTCTCAAAAAAACAGCCACACCAATTTTTCCAATCAAGGAGTGGGTGAGAATAGTGGAATATCTCAGGGGGTAACATATTGCAATATAACGGTCAAATGCCATAATCAGCAATATACCTGATTCGGAGATGAAGGAAGAGTGCTGGAAGTAGAGCTGGGCAACGCAACCATTAAGAGAAATTTCTCTAGAATTGCACCAGAAAATGGCCAGTGCCTTGGGTTCTGTAGTCGTAGCAAAGATAATATCTACTGCAGCCAGCATGCAGAGGAAAAGGTACATTGGGTCATGGAGGCTGCTCTTGGTGAGGATAATGAAGATGAGGAGACCATTCCCAAGGAGAGCAAAGACATAGGAGATGAACAAGGGGATGGAAATCCACACATGCAGGTCTTCTCGGCCTGGAATGCCCAGGAGATAGAAGATCATATGGTTAACACCAGTGTGGTTGAAACTAGTCATTCCTGAGGCTGGCTAGGACAGACTTTATGTTTGTACTAAAAGATTAAAAGAGAAGTATAGATTATGTATAAATACTTACTTTAGACTTTCTAATTAAATTCATCATTTTACATACCTGATTTGCCAACATTTTCTCATAACAACCCATTAGAGTGTAAGAAAGAGTATGAAAACAAAATGAACCTATGTTCAAGCAAAGATAATAATAATAGCATAAGAGAGAAAGAGTTATCTCTTATAAGCAGTAGGATAAAAAATAAAAACCAAATCAACTACTAACTAATGGATTTTAGATTGAGAGGAGGTCTGGTGGCTTAGTACTCGGGACACAGCACTGCTAAGCCGAAAGCCAAATCTCAATGACTGCTCAAATTCAGCTTTTCTCCAGGAGTAACTAATTCTGCGGTGCAACTTACAGCTCCTGAAAACCAGCTGGAGGGTCAGTTACAAGACGATCTCAACCCAACAGCAATGCACACACAGGTCAGTTTAGGCAGAGACAGGAATGAAGGTGATTGTCACTGTAGTACTGAGAGAATTTGTGGTATCATAACCAAATAAAAATTAAACTGTCATCAAGTAGATCATTACTCATGGTTATTCTTCATCAGCTTTCCAGACAGTAACTCTTTACAGGAGGAAATTACCCCTCTTTCTCCCTTAGAGAAAGGTCGGTTTGAACTGCCACTCTCAGCTAGAAGCCAAAATTGTTGCCCATTATGCCACCAGAGCTCCTAGAGATATTATGGAAATAGGTAAACGGAGTTAAGAGTAGCATAAAAATCTGTCTGAAAAGCAGATTAATAGATCCCCTTTCCCAAATTGCCCATTTAGTTACCACTTTGCTAACCCAACATAGAGCAGTAAGTGTATCCTCTAGAGCAGTTAAACCAGGAAAATTGGTAGACTCCAAGCACAGCTATGGGCAGGGATGCTAAACTACAAGCAGGGACTCAATTGAAAGGTTGATTCGGAACACAGAGAACTGCTCCTGTTTGTATTTAACAAAACTACACATGTCCTCCACCCAGAAATTCCAACCCACTCAGAATTAAGTATGAGGTAATAAAATGTATTGAGATTTTGTGTATAAGCATGGAATTTGTCTAGTGATAGACCTGCCTCTTGATTTACTTCAGCCCAAAAATATACATTTAAATAAAGTTTTTAAAATATGTTAAGACTAAACAAACAAAAAGTTTTTAAGACTATAAAATACCTTTAAAGTTTTACTCCCATTAATGGAAATAGTTTGGAGATAGATACCCCCAGAATGAAGGGGTGGAGAACAAAAAATAGAGATGCAGAAGCTCCAAGTAAAGGGCTAAAACAAAGAGCTGCAATCCAGGAGAGGGTGGAGGTGTAGAATTCCTTGAATTACGGTGAGGTGAGCGATGTCAGTTGGGAGGAGTTCTGGAGGACCACAAGTTTAGACTGGATTAAGGAGATAGAAGACACCATAGGAAAATTATTAAAGGAGTGAAAGAAAGACTGTTTTGAAGCATTATTTATACTTCTGGTAAAAAGTAAGGCAAGTAGAGCCAACAAAATCCAAAAATATAGGTCCTTATTAACACTAGGAAGGAAATAAAACAGATGTGTTTAGTTAGTACTTATATTTGCATAATCATAATGTAATATAAACATGCATCTTACAATCATGATATACCTCTAGAGTCTTACAGAACTTTGGGAGTTTGGGAGACTATGAATATGCACAATAAATTTAACTTTTTTGATAAATGTATTTCATAAAAATAAATTTAAACTGAGTTATAATAAAGTGTCTACAATAAAGTGTCTACCTATTCACCAATACCAAATTTTGCATAAAAATTAACTTCCCCAACAAATGCCATTCTCCTAAAGGAAATAAAAATGTGGTGCTACAAAGGACAGAGGTACAGTGTTTTTAAAACACACACACGCACACACATAAATGGAGACATGAAAAAGGAAACCAGAGGTCAAACATTATTAAAAGTCAAATGGTAAGCCAGAGATAGAAATTATTAGAAGATGAGTGATAAACTGTATTTGGAAACTAATGGAGACTTGGGCAAAGGCAATGCTTTTTGATTGGAGCTAAAGAGGAAAGTCTGGAAGTAGTCTTTGAAATATACCTGCCGGGAAATTCCGGTTTAGACTAAAAGCATATGTTTCACACCTTCTTTCCAAAGAACTTTGCCTCGATGTGTCCAGACATTCTTCTGCCTTAAGCTCCTGAGCAATCTTCCTCTCCTTCTCCCAAGACTCCTCAGATTCTGACTAGCACAGCAATCCTTTCTTTGTCTACATCATCTATCTCTCCTAAATCACAAGTTGATTTAACTGTTAGGGAATATGTCTTACCAATCAAGAGCTGCCTTCTTATTTATCAAGCATCTCTAACAAAAGTTGATGGGCAAGTCCATTCAACAATCCATTCCTACAGCATACCACACAGAAGGAAATGCAAATAAGGTGGAAGGGAAGGAAATAAAGACCACTGGCCAGAGCAAACCTACCATAGTATTTCTGCCCTCTCAGTCTATATTTGGTCATTAGTGTTCTCTATAATCTGTTCACAAGTTTGCAAAAAAAAGTCCTCATATTCCAAACCTTTAGCCTTGTAAATTAATTCCATCACCAAGGACCTGTCAAGAATTCCACTATCTAGCTCTACTCAACTCTGTTCATACTCTCACCTTACATAGGCCAAAATCAATCACCTATTCCACACCACATTTTTGGGAGCAGAAATAAAATCAATGACTGGAAAAAAACTTAGAAAGATGAAGATTAAGGTACAGAACTAATTATCTTCAAGAGTTCTCAGGAGATAATTTTAGTCTAAGAATCAGGTGCCCTTGGGTTTAAAGTATACCAAACTGCACAAACTCAAATAAGCCAAGTTATTACGGTTATTTCCTACTACACTTTTTTCTCCAGACACTGAGTCCTCTGATACCAACACAGTTATTCCATTTCTATCCTCAGATTGTGTATGTACTTAGTTATGACTTTCAATAACCTGTGGGCTCTTAATTCCAACCCAGCATTCTTCCCAATAAATTTCTGGGCTTCTTTTGATTTTTCCTAGATTCATACTTTGTACATTCCATGTTTCAATTATTATAGAAATTTACAGCTGTTTCTCCTCATCTTTGGGTAACTTCCAATTTGGGCTCTACCTATAATACTATAGTTACCTGTGTTCCTTACACGGTTCATAAGGTTTTCTGAGACCTATTATTTCAGAAGTGGATAGCCAATCCTGTTTTCCAGTTTGTCTTAATCTGGGAACTCATCTGAAACCTGTCTACTATGCTACTATACCCTGCTGACATTTGAGACATTGATGGCATAGCTTCTAGCACCACAGTAATGCACAAGTTCCCCCAGTATAACAAGTTGACAGACAAGTCACAGTACTAATAAGAGCAAATAATAAAAATATATACACACCTAAGCTATAAAATAGGTAGTAACTGCAAATCCTTTCCCCAATACAACAAACTGACAAATAGGTGGTGTACCTCTAACAGCAAACCCTATAAACCATCAGGCATACGAATTTCATGGCCTAAAACAGCACTTTCTAGCCCCAGTTGAAGCCTGTAGCCGGTAGTTTAAAATCAGGAAAGGTATGCATCAGGACTGAATCCTTTCTCCATACCTATTCAAACAGTATGCTAAGCAATTCATTTGAGGAGCTGGACTTCATGAAGAGAAATATGGCATCAGGATCAGAGAAAGACTCACCAAAAACCTGTAATCCCTTCTATAGGGATTACATCTCAACATTAAGAAGATAAAAATTCCACCATTGGGCTGTAGACAGCATTATGATAGATGAAGACAAGAGTGAAATGGTAAATTATTTCTTCTTACTTGGATCCACAGTCAACACAGTTGGTATTAGCTCTTGAAAAGGCATGTTGCTTTGGGGAAGTCTGTTGTCAAAGACCTCTCCAAAATACTAAGGCATAATGATATCAGTTTAAAAACTAAGATGTGCCTAATTTAGGACATAGTCTTTTAAGTCACTTGCTATGTATAGTTGTTGTTGTTGTTGTTATGTGCCATCGAGTCGCTTGTGACTCATAGCGACCCTATGTACAACAGCCCTAAACCCTGCGCTATCCTTGTGCCAATCTCATTGCCTCTGACACATCCATCCCGATTACCCCAGTCACTGAATCAATCCACCTCATAGAGGGTCTTCCCCTCCTGCGCCGTCCCTCCACTCCTATGTATAGTAGAGATAGAAAATGAATAGACTACAGAAGGAGAATCAATGCCTTTGAATTGTGTTGGAGAAGAGTGCTAAATATTCTATGCACTGCAAAATGAGTGAACAGATACATCTTGGAGAAAATGCAGCCAGCGTGTTCCTTGGAGGCAAGGATGGCAAAACTTTGTCTCACATACTTTGGGCATGCTGTTAGGAGGGGCTAGTCCTTGGAAAGGGAGCTCTGGTGGCCTAGTGATAAGAAGCTTCACTACAATCCCAAAGGCACATGCTTCAAATCCACCAGCTGCTCTGTGGGAGAAGGATGGGCAATCTCCTCTAATTTGATTAACTGCCTCTGGAAACTCACTAGAGGGTCAACTATGGGTGGATTCCAGCTTGATGGCATACAATAACAATTCCTTGGAAAGGGACATGATGCTTGAAAAGGTGGAAATTCATCAAAAGAGAGGAAGATCCTCAACCAGGTAGATTAACACAGTGACCGCAATAATGGGCTCAAGTATATTAGAGATGATGAGGATGACACAAGGTAGAATAGTGTTCAGACCAGAATAGTGTTATAGAGTTGTTATAAGTCATACTCAACTCAACAATACCTAACAACAATTTTTTAAGAAACCTTATATTCACATGAATAAAAATTCTCCACTATTTAAAATCAATTTATGCAATTTATTTTAACAAATACATTCTCATATCAGATCCTTCATCACAATTAAGACAATTTGAAACTCAGTTTCTGGGATGAAATTTATCTTTTGGA